TTCAGATGATTTACATAATGCGAAACCCAAAGGATGTGTGCGTTTCGTACTATTACTACCAGAAAATGATGAAACGGACGGACATTGACTTTGAGGACACGTGTCAACTGTTTCTCGACGAAAATTTAATAAACGGCGATTGGTTTCAACACTTAAGGGACTATTGGCTCACTTATGGCTTAAACCACCCGAACGTACTGTTCGTCGCGTACGAGGAGTTGTGCGCAGATCTGCCGGCAATGGTCCGCACAATCGCCCGCTTTCTCGGCAAACACTTTGCCGACGAAACGGTGGACACAATTGTCAGTCACACTAAGTTTGAGGCGATGAAAGGAAACCCAATTTATAATCAGTTTTATTTGTTGGGCAAAAATGCCCCACAATTTGTGCGCAACGGCACTATTGGCGACTGGAGGGCACACATGACTGACCGACAGTCGGCACTCTTTGACGAGCGATATGGACAACGGTTGCGGGCGATTGGGCTCCGGGTGTGCGACAACATGGAGGCGGCCGAGCGCTGTATGGCTACCACCGGACGTATCATTGAATGTGACAAAAACTAATGAGCATTAATGACAGCGAATACACTGTATTTTAACGTTTAATATAAAACTTCATTTAATTTGTTACTTCAAAGATAATAATTATTATTTTAGAGTACATTATTGTTTTGTAGAGAGGCTTATAATTAACAACCAATTTTACAAACATACGCCCTTTTACCCCACTTTCTCGGATAAAGGTTACAGTGTCAAATCACTTAAAATTGTCAAATAAATGAGCTAGTTATTATGAAATTATAATTTTTGAATAAAATCACAGTAAATACTTTCTACTATACAATTTAATTGCACTCAAAAGGCGTTTAGTATTTAATAATACATTTACGATTTATTAATAATTAATTGAACTCAATGGTATGATTTGCACTAAATATGTACTTTTATATGACATTAGGTTATGATTTGCTAACAACTATAAACAATATGATAAAAGCAAGATTTTATACATCTCTTATGATACCAATTTGGTATATAAACAAATTATAAAGAAATAAACATTTAAAAAATGGTAGCAAACAGTACTCTTAAAAATATAATTTAAAACAAATAATGTCCGGAACAGAGATTTACTCAGAGGTGAAAAACTCGAGAGACTTTACGGGGAAAATAGTTTTAGTGACCGGTAGTAGTGGTGGTATCGGCGAAGCGATCGCCAAACTATACTCGGCTTTAGGCGCGAGTGTTGTCATTACCGGTAGGCGTGAAGATGGCGTCAAACGGGTGGCCAAAGAGTGTCAAGAATTGTCGCCTCAAAACCTGGATGTATTGTGAATTATTATTATTATAATAAAATAATTTTAATTAGAAATCATATTTCAATAGATGTTAGAAATAGTAACCAATCTGTCAAAGGATGGCGAAGCGGAGCGTGTGTTTACTGAAACAGTTAAGACATTCAAACGATTGGATGTATTGGTGAATAACGCCGGCGACTATATTAAGGCCAACGCAACCGATGATAACTTTTTGGACGTTTTGAACAGATCTCTGAAAGTAGATCTCAAGGCATCGCTTACTCTCATCCGACTCTTTGAACCATATCTTAAACAAAGCAAAGGAAATGTTGTCAACATTTCGTCGGTGTTTACGGAGAGACCGGTAAAGCATAGACTAATAATTTGTTTACAAATTTAAATCTGAATGTATTGTTTGAATTTAGCAAATATGTTATTTGGGATATGTATTAGCAAAACAAGCCCTTGAAATGAGCACAACTACACTGGCATTAGAGTTGGGTCCACACGGCATTCGGGTTAATAGTGTCGGGTAAATGTTATTTGTAAATTAATTTAATTAAAAGTTATTAAATTTTAAACTTTATTAATTGTAAGAAATATTATTATTTAATTATTTACTTTCAAAATTAATAGCGTAGGAGTCGTGGATTCGCACGAAACACACAGTGATTCAGGCAATAAAGTTATCGCCAAATCCATAACATGTACACCACTGGGACGTGTGGGCACTCCCGGCGATATCGCCAAAGGGGTGGTATTCCTGTCCTCATCGGACGCCTCATTCATAACGGGACACAATCTGGTGGTCGACGGCGGATACAAATATAATGTTGGCTCAGATTTTTGGGCATGTTAAATATAACATGTAATCTTATAAAGTACATGTGTTTGATGGTAATAATCGAAATAAAGTGTTTATAATTTACAATGTGTTTTAATTATTTAATTTATTTATTTTGCAAACATTAAATAAAATGATAAATAATTATTTATTTTTATTTCTAAAGCAATAATCTAATGCTACAATTTTTATAAATTCATATTCAAATTAGGGACTATTCAAAATTTCCAAACATTGAAACAGACCAAGGAACAACAATGCTGTGAATAAATTATTTAATCAAATTGATTCTAAGTAATATAAACACGACTATTAATTTTATAAGTAACTACAACAGGATATGAATTCATTAAATATCTTAAATGTCATAATAATAGTTATAATTTTAATACTAAATAGATTTATTTAAAAATGCAGTATTGTATACTTTTTATTATTCTTACCATATTTCACATATTAATGTTAAAATAATTGTACTACATGTCACAAGATATGCACTAGATGTTCATAACATAAGTATTATTAATGTACAAGGTTATCATTTGATTACACTTATCAATAATGTGCTAGATAAAAACACTTATTGAATAAGTCACTCAGACAGTGTTTGGTATATAAGTGGAAAAAATTGTTGCAATAAAAGAAATATTTTTACAAATAGTAAAACAGTTAGCAATTAAAAAGTTTATATAAAATTAAATAAATGTCTGAAAAAGATATTTACTCTGAGGTAAAGAAGTCGAGAGACTTTACGGGAAAAGTAGTTTTAGTGACCGGAAGTGCTATCGGTGTCGGCGAAGCGATCGCCAAACTATACTCAGCTTTAGGCGCGAGTGTTGTCATCACCGGTAGGCGTGAGGATGGCGTCAAACGGGTGGCCAAAGAGTGTCAAGAATTGTCGCCCAATAAACTAAAAGTATTAATAATAAGTTAATTAAAATATAAATAAAATATTAATAAATTTATTAATTTTACAATTAATTGAGAAATAAAATTTCTTATTTAAATTAATTGTATTTATTATTTTAATAGGCGTTGAAATTACCGGCGGATCTAACAGTTGATGGCGAAGCGGAGCGTGTGTTCAATGAAACCATTAAAACATTCAAACGATTGGATGTATTGGTGAATAACGCCGGCGCCGGTTATGTGAAGGCCAGCGGAACCGATGATAAAGTTTTAGATGTTTTGGACAAATCACTCGCAATAGATCTGCGGACACCACTTACTCTCATCCAACTCTTTGAGCCATATCTTAAACAAAGCAAAGGAAATATTATTAACATTACGTCTGTGTTTACAAAGAGACCGGTATTACAATTAATATATTATAATTATTTTAATGAAATGTTGACTATTTTTATATGTTTAGCAAAAATATCATTTGGGATATCAGTTAGGAAAACAAGCCCTGGAAATGAGCACAACTACACTGGCATTAGAGTTGGCCCCACACGGCATTCGGGTTAATAGTGTTAGGTATGTGTTATTTGTGAATATGGCATATGATTTAACTACAGTACAGTATATGCTCATTGTATTTCACATTAGGTTAGCATTATTGAATTAAACTAAAATTACTAAATTGTTTTCCATAATAATCAATAGCATCGGAATCATAAGGTCGTACACAACACCCGAAACACTTAACGATCCCAATGTTGTCAAAGCATTTGCCGATTCGGCCAAACAGACACCACTCGGCTATTTGGCCACTCCTTTCGATATCGCCAAAGGAGTGGTATTCCTGTCCTCATCGGACGCCTCATTCATAACGGGACACAATCTGGTCATTGATGGCGGCCTTCAATATAACATGGATTCACAGCATTTTCCAGATTTTGATTTTTAGATTAAAATTTGTTTAATAAATTATGGTTATGTAATTTTGAGAAATAACTATTTACAAGTGATCAATGTACAATTTCTTGCGAGTAATTAAAGCAAACTTTATATTGGCTTTCACTAAAAGTTGTTCTTATAATTTCTTTACGTTTACAATAACTTAATTGTTGCCATAATGTAATTTTAATTATAGAACAATGCTCAAACATAATATTAATTAATATTCATATTTGTCTTATGTATTATGGGTATTTTATAATAATTGAAAATTATTCATTATAATATCATGAATTAATTAATAATTATAAACAAAATAGTATCATACTACTAATTAGAAAATAATGGTGCAATGTAAAAAAATTACTAACTTTAACGCATAATTTTATATCTATTTATAATATACAAAGTATATTTTTAATAATAAAACATTGTATAATTAATTAATTATATAATATTCTAATTAAACAATGATCACAAGGCAATGCTATGCATTTACCGTAATTTGGGTGATGCTCAAAGAATCTCATAGGTTTAACATTAGTACATATGACTGACATTTGCCGAATGATCTTATAAACCACATTATTCTATGCAAAATATTTGAAATATTACAGTTATACTTTAGCTGAATTGATTAATACAGTGGATTGCATATTGTACAATTGTACATTTTACAATTGTTTATTTTAGAAAATAATGTCTGGCATTAAATGCAATGAATTATTGCCTAAAGAATTACGAATACAATCAGCAGAGAATCAATTGTATAGAATTGGGTTATCTCTATATAAACCCACAATTTACGTTAGACGACCATGTTACTCTTCAACAACTAATATTATTATTGGCTATTTGATAACACTTTTATTTAATATAATATGCTTAATAAATAACGGTAAAAATGAGACAATTGTAATAATATTTGGCGATTATTCACATATAATTGGCTCAACTTTTCACTTAAAACTACTGCTGATTATTAGCATATGTTTGGCATTAAGTATTCATTGCATTTATTATTACAACTATTGGTTTGGTATTAGACCTACATTTTTGAAAGTATTTTCTATGCTCTCGGGTTTGGTTACTCCACAATGTGTGGGTCTATCGGACTCCCAAACCCTCTATCCGTTTATCAAAAAAGTGAAAACTATATTCAAAATTAATCACTTTGTATGCGAGAAAACGGCAATATTTACCGTTTTAATATGTTTTATACCGTATGTTGTGTATAAGCCATTAGTTGTGACCCTTTTGTTTGGTATATCCAATTCGCTTCTATTTGGCTGGGTTGTTTTTAGTGGAGTCGCACTGTTAACATGGACATTTATTTATCTATTTATTTTATGCATGTACATAAAAATTAAAATCAATGTAATTTACCATAATTTAAAACATTCGCAAAATATTCTGCTAATTATACGGTTATTGAATAGCATTCATGTGGAGATTAATGAATACAACATCACTTATTGGTCCAAATATTTACTTTTAATTTGGCTTATAATGGGTTTAATGATTAATCTCTTGTTATACAGTATTATTTGGATCTTGAACATATTTGTAATGCGATTGATTATGATGTACGGTTTGGTTTTATTTTCATTTGGTTTTATAACAATCATAATTACCGTATCGTCTGTTAATACAAGGGCTAAACAATCATATAAATTATTGAACACATATTTTGTCCACACTTTTGTCAAATAAATTTAAATGTACCAAAATGTATTTTCTAATTTATATGTTTAGTAATATAATTTTTAATTAATATTAAATAATTGATATAAATTTAATTTTAAACCTTTGTATACTTGTCTTATAAACTTATATATATTAACATAAAAACTTGTATAAAATTATATGCAATATTAAGCAAAAATTAAATTAAAATGTAGTTTTAATTTACATATAATTTTTAAGCAAAATAAAAATAAAAGCTCTTTTAATAGATTAAATAAAAAAATTAGTAACTTTTCATAGATATTCAAAATAAAACCATAAAATTCAAGGAAAAGTTATAATAAGCAAAGATTATGCATTATTAATTAACTTTTATAATTTAGACACTTTTACTAATTATTCAGAGTAATTCAGAGTAATTCCAGGCGGTTTGGGGGCGAAGCCACCAAATGTGTGTGCATGTGCACACACATATGTTTCCAGGCGGTTTGGGGGCGAAGCCACCAAATGTGTGTGCATGTGCACACACATATGTGTGTGCATGTGCACACACATATGTATCTTAGAAATCATTCCGACCCCTAGCGTTTTTCTTGAATACCTCTACTTTTCCGACGGATTCATTTGTAAAACCAAAAAGTAGAATAGGAAGGGAATAGTAAGAAAAAATCCTATGATGTAACTTTCGAGATAATCGCCCCTAAAGTCAAAAAAAAATAAATTCATATCTCCTGAACAACAAATGCTAAAATTATGAAGTAAAGTGCATTATGACCTTCAGCCAAGGGGACGGTGATTAGAAAAAACCGCATCAAAATCGGAGCACTTTTTGACCCCGTAATGCCATTTTACAATTTGACCGAAAGTTCGACATAGCCATTACTCGGCCAAAATTCGACTTAAATTGATCAAACTTCTGGAGGCATATTTGAGCACCCCTTAGACCCATTGAAGCCCATAGTGGGCGTGGTCACGTGATTTTGACCATCGGCCATTGAATAACATATACTCCCGAGTCCCGGAGTTCCCACCACTAACTCCGAGACAGCATGTCCGATCAGGTCGGAACCGGTCCCGATGTTTAGGTATTAATGAACCAAACAATAAATGTTATGTTGAAATTTTTTTATCTCTAACCATAAATGAGCTAGAGCTCGGTATTGACTGTCCCGGTGGTATTTACTTTGGCCACAGAATCGCCCGATGGAGCTCTATTTGAAAAATTCTTTTTTTCCCTAAACGCCGGTACCTATGGGCTAATTGTCGGGCCATAATGGATTAGGTCACGTGAAAAATTTTCCCCGCCATGTTAAAGGGTCTACGGGGTCTAACATTGCCTTTTTCGCTACTGTGGCCGAACGCGTTGACCTAGAGACCTGATATTTGGTATCCATATACTCATATATGTTGAGATAACGTCCATAAAGTTGCGCCCCCAAAACTGTCCGATTTTCGGGAAATTACCCGAAATGGCCCGGGCTTGCCAAATCGACTCTAGCGCCACCTGTAAACCTCCGAGAGAGTCGAGACCGGGTCCGTTGGAATCCTAAAGACATTTGTGGCCGATTAGACCCCCACTTGCCTATACCTATCTGTACGCGTTTAGGCACAATAAGTGATATTAGATGACAAAAATGCCCATAGACTTTACATTACACATTTTTTATTGTTGTTTACTTAAATATAAACTTAATTTAAAATATAAAAATAAATAAATA